TCCAAAGCCCCATTCAGGCTTCCCTGATTGCATCAGTTCATTATTTCATATTGTGTGGGGTCTTCTCCAGGTGACAAATTGGATTTTTTTTTTTTTTCTTTTTTGAAAGCATGGCAGTTGGATGTTTAGTAATATTTAGGATTAAAGGGGAAGATGAGAAAACTTTTATTTTCTCGTTATAAGTGCCCCTAATTGAATTTTAGAAAGTCTGTTTGGAAGAGGAAGTTGGACGTTAGACAGCGTGTTGTGAGGCATGCGGATGCTTCAATCTGGTCAAAGTGAGAACGGGTCCCAGATGCTTGGAGGGTCTCGAGAAAAATGAACAGCATGAGCTCGTGTGATGGTGGTTCATGTGCCAACTTGGCTGGGCCAAGGCCCCAGATATTTGGTCAGACATTATTTTGGACTAGAGACCCAGTGCATGAAATTCGTGCCCAGGGGGTGGGTGGGGGGCATGTCACTCAGCCCAGCTTGCACCCTCTCCAATCGGGGATGTCCCTCTCACAATCCAGGACTGCTAGCTCCCAAGTGCTCACCTGCCTGCCTTCCTGATTACCCCGAGCTGCTTCTGCTTGCCAGCCTGATCACCCCCTAACCATTCCCATGCCAGATGGGAGTGGTTAGGGGGTGATAGATGTCTAACTGCTCCCCTGCCAGCCTGTTTGCCCTCAACTTCCCTCCTCTGCCGGCCTGGTCACCCCTAACTGGCCTCCCCTGCAGGCTTGATTGCCCCCAACTGCCCTTCCTCGCAGGCCTTGTATCCTCCAACTGCGCTCCCCTGCTGGCCATCTTGTGGTGGCCATCTTGTGTGTTGGAGTGATGGTCAATCTGCATATTACTCTTTTATTAGATAGGATAGAGGCTTCGTGAACGGGTGGGGGCTGGCTAATTTGCCCTGAAGGGTGTCCTGGATCAGGGTATGGGTTCCCTTGGGACATAAGGCAGTCTGAGCAAGGGGCCTGTGGTGGTTTGCAGGTTGGCCATGCCCTCTGGTGACCCAAGTGGAGGCCCTGGTATCTGGAATTTATTTTCCTTCTACAATTGAAACTTTGTACCTGGAGCAGAGCCAAGCCTCCTGCTTGCTCCATGGCTGCAGCCATTTTTGTTGGGACTTATGTATCTTCTATAATTGAAACTTTGTAGCCTTAAGTGGAGGCCTGGGCCAGCCAGGATGTGTGAAAAGCTTTGCTTCTTCCATTGCTGGGGGCAACCCTAGCCTCCCGCTCGTTCCAGCTTTGTGACTGCCACCATTTCTTTTGGATTTGTTTACCTTCTATAATTGAAAGTTGTTAGCCTTGAATGGAGGCTTAGGCTGGCAAAGGCAGGTGGAAAGCTTGGCTTCCTCCATTGCCTGGGAAACCCAAGCCTCCCTCCTGCTCTCTGTGGCCACAGCCATCTTGGTTCAGTTTATTTGCATACTCGCTCTGATTGGCTGATGGGCATGGCTTGTGGGTGTAGTGGAGTGATGGTTAATTTGCATATTACTCTTATTCGGTAGGATGTTTCTGTGAGGGTGCTTTGGGTTGACATATTTAAATCAGCGGACTCTGAGTGAACTGCAGTGTCCTCCATAATGTGTGTGCACCTCATCACATCAGCAGAACAGAGACGGACCTCCCCTGCCCCTGCTCCCAAGTAAGATGCCTTCGGGATTTGAACTGCAACACCAGCTCTCCTCTGGGTCTCCAGCCTGCTGGCTGACCCTGTAGATTTTGGACCTGCCAGTTTCCATTATCACCAGAGCCAATTCCTTAAAGCAAACATCTATTTATCTACCTACCTACCATCCACAGCCTATTGGTTTGGTTTCTCTGGAGAACACTGGCTAACACTAGAGGAGAAATCCCAAGCGTTCAATTTCTTGGTTAAGCGTCACCACCCACTCACCCTGTTTTCCAGGCGCATATGACTGTGGACGCCTCCGGGGAAGGCTACGCAATGCACTGTTTCTTGCTTTTGTTTTGTTTTGTTTCAATACTGCAGAGGCCAGCAGGATGCCGGGTCTTGGGGGTAAAAGGTTTACTTTGGGTTTCTAAGAAGCATTTAAGCAGCACAGCAGCTGTCAAGTTGGAAAAGCCATGGAACAGCAGAAGAGCACCGCAGGCCGCCGGGACAGGCGGCAGATGTTCTCAAAATAATGAAGAACCTGGCTGGGTGTCGCAATGTCTCCCCTGCCCACCCAGACCCTCCCGTAGCCCGGCCCTACAGCTGGTTCTCCATGACACACTGTGGTTTCTGCACCAACACACACATGGGCACACGTGTGTCCACACCTAGCTTGTGAAGGGACTGGGACCGAGGACAGGCAGCGGTATCCTGCTTCGGGCGTGTGTTATGTACAGGGGAGTCCGCATTCTATTAATAGATCCTGACACCCCCCAGATCCTCACCTGATCAATGAGGCACCTCCCAGTGCCAGTCTGTGGTCTGACTCTGGACCTCAGGGTTGAATAGTTGTGATTATATTTATTTATTTATTTAAAAAAATATATTTTTTTGATTTTTTACAGAGAGGAAGGGAGAGAGATAGAGAGCTAGAAACATCGATGAGAGAGAGAGAGACATCGACCAGCTGCCTCCTGCACACCTCCTACTGGAGATGTGCCTGCAACCAATGTACATGGCCTTGACCGGAATCGAACCCGGTACCTTTCAGCCCGCAGGCCAATTCACTGGGCCAAACAGGTTTCGGCAGTTGTGATTATTTTTGCATCCCACTCATATGGGCTACAGAAGACCTGTGAAGAGAGGCGAATGTCTTGCTTGTCAAAAGCTGCTCACAGCCACCCTGGACTTCCTAATTGTTCCTCCCTAAGTCTGTTCCCAAAGGCCCAGAGCACAGGGCCTGCTGCTAGGTCCAAGCAGGGTTTTCATCAACTGCCTTAAGCTTTTTCCCTTTTAGGACATTTTAAAGTAGATGATTATACTCGAGATGCCACACATCCAATAGTCCAACTTTGTATCTGTGAAACAGTTTGTGAAAATACCCATCATGCATGCATGTTTGTGTTTCTATAGAAACCATCTGGCAAAAGGAAGAGAAAAATTTCTGAAATGTAAGAAAAAACCAGCCACGGGAAGAAATGCAGGGGCTTTATTATAATCAGTATTATTCTGGAAGTTAACGATTGTACTCATTCAGGAAACAGTGTGCTTTCAGAGAGCTCACAGATACATGCCAGGTGCAGCTACAAGTCCGTAAACAAGCCCCTCGGGGAAACAGCTCGGCGCTCCTACCTGCAAACCCAGGCAGCAGCAACGCGCCTGCATTTCTGCAGCGGAAGGTGCAAGGGTCTGCACAGGCCTGACCTGCACTGCCTGCTCTCAGCGCCCTTCTGGGATGCCAACTCGGGGGGTGTGGGTGGGGAGCTGCTTGCTCTGTGTACTCCACGACCATGCTGCCTACAGCGTGTGCCTCTCCAAAGCCAGCCTCGGTGTATACCAATCTCTCAAAGAAATACCAGATGTGATCACGTGGTACCTTGAAAGTTAGGCTCCAGCTCCTGCATGCCAGTGGGAGGAAACCGATGCGGCCTTCAGACAGCCAGACAGGGCTTTTCCCTCAGGGGAGGGCATGGGTCTGCCTGGGTCTGAGTCACGCCAGCCCATCGCAGCCCTGGACTGCGAGTGGCACCTCGAGGCTGGTGGTGGGCACGCTGCTCCCAGCGCACTGCTGGCCTGCAGCAAATGCCACTGCTGGCGAGTGGGGCGGCTGGCCGGGCCCTCCCCAAGCCTCTGCCTGGGAAGATCTGCAGGAGCCTTTGGCTTTTCAGAAAAGCAGGCACTCCACTCCGGAGCCAGAGAGCAGCCCAGGGCGGCTGTGGGCAGGAAACGCACAGAAAGCGGGGCCATCTGAGGGGCCCAAGGGAAGGTGGGCCCAGCAAGCGTGACAGGCAGAGGAATCTGGGCAGCCGGGCCCTGGCACACAGGCTTTCCTGGCTCTAACGGAATGTGGTGTCTCTTGTTCCCAGGGAGACGAGGGCAGGTTCGGCCTGTTATCTCTGCGTTCACTTCACCTCCCACGCAGCCTGAGCTCCTGCTGTGTGTCCAGACTGGCTGGCCGTCTGCCTGGCCGGTGGCCACTTCCAGAACTCCGAAAGCTCTAGAGGTGAGTGATGACAAACACGGGCTCGTCTCGTTTGCTCTGGCGCAGGCTGTCTTGATGGCGGGGCAGTGCTGGACTTGGGACCCGCACGGAGATCTCCTCCCAGAGGCACTACCTTTGGGCAAACTACCCGCCCTCTAATTTTTCAGCAAGATGACTCCTGGGATAACAGAGCCATCTCAGAGATGTACACTTTTCTTTGGTCCTCCTGGGATCCTGATGTCGCCCTGCACAGGGGCCCCTGGCCGCACAGGGAGTGACATTCAGGGTTGCTGTGGTCTGCTTTAAGTCTTCCTTGATTAAGGTGACCAGATGTCCCGATTTTTAACAATTTGTCCCGCATCCTGCGGTGCTTTTTGGGAAAATCGGGACTGTCCCACCAAAAGTGGGACGTCTGGTCACTTTATCCTTGATCTGTCTTTCTGAAACCCTCCCCCGTAAGGGACACCCTCATTTCTTATGCTCCCGGAAGTGTGCAGATCTGATTGTCCTAGAACTCAGAAGCATAAAACGATTGAGCTTTCCTCCCAATCTCAATCCAACCCTCCCAAATTTGTGCCCCTTTGTTTTAAGACCACAGGCAGGACTTTCAGTCAATGGTGAAACAGTTCTAAAGCTAAACTCTGAGCACAGTTCTAAAGCTAAACTCACTTTGCTCAGGGCTCGGCAGGTTTTGTAATGGCAGTGGCCCCTCACCAAACAGGACTCCCTGGGAACAAGGTTTGGGGTCTATTTGTAGCTTTGATTCGGAAATGTAAGGCGAAGGAAGGGTGCGCTGCTTTGCCTTAGATTTCCCACTGGAAAGGTGTTGGGAAGAAAATGCCGTTCTCTTTGCTGGGGAAATGCCAAATGTTGGGAACCAGGCACGGCTGGGGAGGGCGCTGGGTCCTCGCGGTCACTTGCGCGGCTGCTGGATGTGCTGGGTTCTATGGGATGGGTGCTTGTCCATGGAGGCGTGGGGCTTCTGGTGAGCCACCTGGGCAGCCGCCGGGGGGAAGTCCTTGTCGCCCTGTCAGAGACACAGAAGGAAGGTATGGCATCAACACTGACTAGCTGGGTTCGTGCAGGAGCAAGGTTCCGACCCCGAGTCCATGTGCCCCTGCAATGTAGGTGATGGACTGGCCTGTGGGCAGGCAGGAGCCTGTCCCCTGGCCTGTGGGGGTCCTGAAGCTTCCTGGGGAGCAGAGGGGCACTGAGGCCCACACACCTGCTATCAGGTCACCATCTGACTCACAGGAAACTACATGTGTCTGGGTGTCTTTCTTCTGCTAGAACGGCTCCTGAATTGTCTGAACTGGGGGCCGGACAGACTCAAACCCAGGCCTTCCAATCAGATGTGCCACCACAGCTGTGAGCTGGGAAGAATACTGAAGGGCAGGGCTGTAGGGTGAGAGACAAGGTACCGCTGTCTCCAGGGAGGAATCACTGGGTGCCACAGTGCCTGTGAGGCTGCAGCCAGGCTGCTCCGGCTAACCAACTGGCCATGGTTGACCTTGAACTTGTGTCTGCATTTAATTTTCTCACATAGAGTAGACGTGCCATTCATCTGTCCCAGTGTCTCAGGACGGCTGTGGTGAGCTGTCCCCAGCAGTGACATTTTCTTCACACAGCATATGCTAAGTGCTCAGCTGTATGTGAGCCACAGAACTGTGGGTGGTGGTAGCGTGGCCTCCTCACAATGGGAGTTAGCTGGTGGGAGGGCTGGAGTGACAGATCACTGGGATCACCACAAGAGGGCGCTCTTTGTGAAGGGTATGACTAGAGCCCATGTGTTCAGACCAGGGGTTGGCAAGCATTTTCTGTAATATGTCAGGTAGTAGATATTTTAGGCTTTTCGGGCCATACTCTCTGCCTCAACTATTTGGTCGGCCTCTGCAGCATGAAAGCAGTTGCAGACGCTGCATATATGATAGGTGCGGCCGCGTGCCACAAAAATTTCACGCGCAGACGCGGAAATCTGAATTGCATATAATTTTCACATAATAAATATAGACTTCTTCCTTTGACTTTTTCAACCATTTAAAAACGTAAAAGCACTCTCAGCTCAGTCTCCCAGAAGCACTTGGCCCGGGGTCCAAAAGGAAGGGAGGCAGGTGAGGAGGAGAGGCAGCTGCTCGCACCCTCGCTGTGTGCTCCACACCGTCACTGTCCCTGGTTCCCCACTACGGGCTCCTGGACAGGAGACCACAGAACACCACTGGCCCCATGGAAGAACGGGGTTAGCAAAGACAGGGACCGAAAGACCTCATCCTGAGGCCCAGGTGATGAAGGCTCTTACCCGGGCGATGACTCCGGAGATGTACACGGTGGGCTTAGGCGGGCTGCAAGACAAGAAGGGAAAAGACAGTTTAGCGGAAAACTCACAATGGGGGCCTGCAGCAGTGACGACAGGTGGATGGGGTCAGTTTGAGGGGAGGGAGGAGAAGCAGGAAGGTTACTGCATCACCACCACCTGGCCGCTGGGCTCAGGACACCTGTGGAGTCCTCCTGAGGGCGGGCAGGCAGAGCCCAGAGGAAAACGGATCTTAGCGAATATAGTAGGGGAGTTGCTGGAAAGCACTTTCCTTTTGTTCTTTGGTTCATCCTCTATCCTCAATTTGTAACTACGGCAAGCTCAGTGGTTTTAGTTCAGATTACAGACACAGGGGCTCCCTGAAGCAGTAAGTCAGGGTCACACGGGATGAACTGGAGAAGAAGCTCCGTTCTGGGAGCTGAGGATCCCCTCCACAGTCCTCGTGGAGCCCGTGGCTCCAGCAGCTGCTCAAGGGCAAGACCCAGAGCCAATGCTCCTGGCCCCACTCCAAAGCTATTGTCAACTTTAACATCTTCTCTCCTACTGAGCTCCCCACTGTCACCAAAACTGAGGGATGGACACGGGGCCAAAGTCGTACATGTTCACAGCTGAGAATCAGACAAGCCCAAACATGTTAGAATCTAGAAGGAGCCTGAAAGAGGGATGGTTCTGTTCTGATAATTATGCAGCATCACCTTCCAGTAAGGCCCGGCCATCTGGAGGTGTAGTGAGCCCGTGACTACTTCCATCATTGCTGGTTTATGTTGGTTTTGTGACCTACATCAAGCCTCTGAAGGCAGAGACACCCCCTCACCTCCCACAGCGAGAGCCTGATAAGAAAGTCACCCACAGAGATGAATCCAGTCAGAAGAGATGCGTGATCGAGACCAGATCCTCTGCCCCGAAGGGTGACTGAGGAGGCTTGGCAATATCCTATCTAATAAAAGAGTAATATGCAAATTGACCATCACACCAAGACACAAAATGGCCGCTCCCATGTGGACACAAGATAGCCACTACAAGATGGCCAGGGGGCGAGGCAGCTGTGGGAAGTTAGAGGTGGCCAGCAGGGAGGGCAGTTGGGGGAGATCAGGCCTGCAGGGGAGGGCAGTTGGGAGCCAGCATCCCGGATTGTGAGAGAGATGTCCAACTGCCCTTTTAGGACCAGGCCTAAATGGGCAGTCAGGCATCCCTCAGGGATCCCAGATTGGAGAGGGTGTAGGCTGGTCTGAGGGACACCCCCTCCCCCCCAATGCAAGATATCTTATCTCTATATCACACCACAGTGTCTGTCCCAGCACCTGCCCACCTCTGTCTGCGTGTGCGCGGAGAAAGGGTCTCCAGACATGGGGCCCCACACTTCCACCCAGTGGCCTCCCTGGCTCAGTAAGCCTCAGGTGACACTTCCCACCCTGGTCCCGGGCGTCTCCCACATTAAACACGATGAGGGTGGGTTCTAGGTGTTGACTGAGCATGCCTTGGGAAATGCGTGTGTGGATGGTTATGATCAGAGGTCGCAGTCACTCTGCTCCAGCCTGGACATCAGAAAATGCAGGCAGAAGCTGCCACCTCATTTCTGCCTCTGAGGCGCAGTGGCAGGTATGGTGTTTACCTTCCCGGCACCCACTTCAGCGTCTCCCCTCAAGCGAGCCCTCAAGGAGACAGCCACAGCATGATGCTGAATGGCTAGAACACTCCGGACTCTGGGCTAAAGGAGACCCCTCACCTGCTGCCAGTCCCAGCTCCGTCCCTAAGGGGAGTCAGAGTGAGGGCAGACCTAAGGGCCACACAGTGATTTCCCTGGCTGAGCCCGATCTTACAGAGGCACCCACTGTGACTTGTTAGCACTGAAGTTGCTGAGTTTTGAGGGCATTTGGATTCCACTCATCAAAGGGCAGCGTATCAGAGAAAAGCCTATTGGACTCGAAGGGAAGGAAATAGTCCTACGGATCCAGCAGCCTGGAGAAGAGGCTCTTGCTGCAAGAGGGCACCATTTCTGTGCTGTTTTTTAAACAACATCGAAGGACTGTGCTGTTCTTGCTAAGCCTTCTCCAGGCTGGAGGGCCGCCTGCAGCTGTGCTGCTTCTGCTACACCTCCTTCCTCCAGAGCGCAAGCTCTCCCCTCCCTGCAAGTGCTGCAAACCCCAGCTAGCTCAGCAGCTAATGAACATTAAAAAATCTACCTTTGAGCCATTTTTAATTGTACAGTTCAGTGCCATTAAGTATTCACATTGTTATACAACTATCACCGCGACCCATTTCCAGAACTTTGTCTTCCACAGAAACTACTTAGTAAGCAGTGACCCCAGTCCCCCTTCCCTTAAGCCCTAGTAACTGCTGCTCTACTTTCTGTCCTGAGAATTCAACTAGTCTAGTACCGCATGGAAGTGGAATCATAGTCTTTCTCTTTTTGTGACCAGCTATTTCACTGAACCTCAGGTCTTTGAGGCTCATCCATGATGTAGCATGACAGAATTTCCTTGCTTTTTAAAGGCTGAGTGGTATTCCGTTTTGTGGATAGACCACGTTTTGTTTATCCATTCACCTGTGATGGATTCTTAAGTTGTTTCTCCCTTTGGACTATAAATGATGCTATGGCCATGGGTGTATCAGTATCTGAGACCCTGCTTCCAATTCTTCCGTGGGGACACTCAGAAGTGGAGCTGCTGGGCCGTGTATTAATACTGTATTTAAACCGAGGAGCCACTGTGCTGATTTCCACGGCAGTCCCAACATTTCAGAATCCCACCAGCAATACACACGGTTCCAGTGTCTCACACCTCACCAACACTTGTTATTGTCTGTTTTTGTTTTGTTTTTTTTATAATATTCATGCTAATGTATGAGAGGTATCTCACTATGGTTTAGTTTTAGCAGATAATTTTAAGAATAAGTTTCTCTATATCAAGAAATAATGAGTATCAATCTGTACTGAGCATTCATTCAAGGTCTTTGTGACACGAACTCCTCCCATCTCCCCAAATGTCTTCTCTTTTCTAAAACTGAAAGGCTGTGCTTGAGGGTGAGGACGCAGGGCGGCCGCCTGTACCACACAGTCACGCTGACAAAGCATGTGCTGCGCTGCATGTTCCATCCAGCGTGGCCCTGAGCTCACTGCCTTTTCCACCTACAATTAATAGCATCTCAAACTGGTAAACGTTTGTTTTTACATCTATAAGGAAAAACTCTTCCTCAACTCCTTGAGCTATGGTAGCTTAAACCAAAACTCACAAACAAGAAACCCTGGTAAAGCGTCTGCTTGCAAAGCCATGTTTGCAAAAACATGAGTATTTTAAATTCCACTAGGGTTCCATGCAAAGCATAACCTACATTTCCAAGATTTTAGAAACTGTGATCACGGCTCTGAGGATTTATTTAATCTGATGGAAATAATTCTGACAGCTGTTGTTTTGAAGATGCAACATGACTTTCTCGCAGGAGACAAGAGACACAGAAAAATATCACTCCTGCCTTCCCACATCCTCAGGCCTCCCCAGTTTTAAAATCCACACTTATTAAAATTTAAAACGGAAGAAACTCCAAGTGAGGCAGAAGTAGTGGGGGCTAGAGCTGGATAACACCTCTTATACATCTGTAGAAACTAGTTCCACACATGGCCTGCTGGCCTGAGGGTTTGATGCACGGAGGTTTTCAGGGTATCCATGTTAAGGAACACACCAAAGTCTTACCAGTGTCATCTCTCCTGAACAAAACTTGCCTATTATTTATTTTCCTTGATGGATAAAGTGTATGACTTATATGCATTCCAGACAGAACTGAAATGCCAGAAAATGCTTTGTAAATGGGTAACCCCAGGGAATGCTGACACCTCAGGACCAGTTTGGTGATCTCATCTTTAAATGAAAGTCCTCAGGGCTGAGAAACGCAATCCACATTTATAAAACTCCCTGAACTCTAAAACAGCCATTACTGAAATATCTGTCAACATATTTTACTCAACTCAACTTACCTAAAACACTACCAGTCCAGTGTGTGCAATCACCAGGAAAATCATTAGGATCATAGTACTTGTCATCTTTGTGTGCCCTAAGACTTCATACCTGGACTGTCAGTGCAGGTCCCGGGCAACACGACGCTCTCTGACCAGCTCTGAGCAGTCTCAATTGACCTTGGCAGCCAGCTTCCCTCCCATGTGGTCACCGGAAGCACTGAGGCTCCCAGAAAAGCTACATGGGAACCTGGGAGGAGGTAATCATGGGGCACGCCCTCCCCTCCTGGTAAGAAAGCGCCTGAGTACTCAGAAGGGATTTCCCCCTAAAAATCTCCCCTAAAAGCCCAAGCTGCCTGTGAGTCAGGGAGTGACTCTCATACACATTCAGGCCCAGAGAACTGTGTCAGAGTCTCCATTTCCTTTTCCAACAAGCAGGTCACAGTTCCGTGAGCAGGGTCCTTCCTCCTGATGCCCAGTGACAGAGGCGCTCCATTTAACGGCAGTCTACTACCTGAGGACAATGCACTGCTCCCAGACCACACGGCCTTCGGGGAATCTGTGCAGGGCCACACGGGGATGGGGAGGCAAATCCAGCCCCACTCTGCCACTGACGGATGAAGGGCTTCTCTGTGCCTGGAGGAGCCACAATGCCACCCACAGGCTTGACAGTGCTGGCCCAGCCTGTCCTATGGCCAGAGAGAGAAAGAGGAGCACAAACTTTGTCTTTAGCGAGCTCACGCCAGTGGCAGGAATCGGGGTTAAAATTTTAAACTGGGATGATGCTAGGAAAGAATCAGACAGGTGCTCTGCTAAATACACTTGGGGGGGGCCTAATACATAGAGGGGAGCCAACACAGAATGGGGGAGATGACGCTTAAGCTGAGGTCCATGCACCTGTGCACACAGTGTGTCAGGAAGGGGCCACAATACCAGGGCCCCATGCACCAAAGGAAGGGGTGAGATTTAATTTGCTTTTGTTAGCACAAAGTCAGTGAGATCTAGGGGGGGAGGTGCAGAGGGGTTCTCTTACAATGATGGGGTGGGTGATTTGGGATGCGGCCCGCTCCCATGATGAA